CAAATTAATTCTCCAGTATATTAGTGGAAGAGTGTCAATGTATTGCGAATTTGAAACTCAATACTGCAAGGATTGAGGAAAAAGACAATTCACAGGTACATAGTGTCTAACCATCTAAGAGAAAAAAAAAACTACAAACATTTTTCACCTCCAAACAGAACAGTAAAAAAAAGACATAAACACTCCTAATACTTGCCATGGTTATAGAGGTAAGTATTTTAAAAGTGATTGTTTCTTCAAGAACAAAAAATGCTATGAATGTGAGAGATTAGGACACAAAAGTACATGGTGCAGATACGAAAAATGGAGAAGAATAAAACAATCACTTTTTAAAATACATGGAGTAATAAGAAACCTCAAAGAGAAATTAACAAGACATCTCAAAAGAGGAAACTTGTTTTTGTGCAAATTAATGACATAAAAATAAAATTGCAATCAGATAGAAGATCTGATATCACTATCATAAATGAGCAGACATGGAGAAAAGTGGGTAAACCCAGTTTACTGACTTCTGATGAAGTTGGGCATGAAGTCTTAGGAAAGACATTGAACTTTTTGGGTGAATTCAGCTGTAAAATTTCTTTTGTGGGGAAAAGACCGAAAAACCAATGGTGTTTGTATTAAAGAATACTGCTAATTTGTTTGGAACAGACTGGATTGCATTGTTTGATCTTTGGGACTTTCCACTTAATACTTTTTGCAACAAGATAAATATTGTTATCCCTGGTACTAAAATGGCAACTGAAAAATTGAAAAAATGAACTGAAAAAGAGTTTTCCAGAAGTTTTCTCAAAAGGTCTAGGGACATGCATGAAAGCAAAAGCTAATTTTGAGTTAAAAGACAATGTAACATCGACATCTAGGCCAAAAAGGAGTGCACCTTTTGTGGCCTTAGATCCAATTAATAATGAATTGGAAAGACTAGAAAAATTAGATGATCTCAAAAATAGTCTATTCCAAGTGGCCATCACCAACAGTCTATATTAAAAAAGGAATAATAAAATGTGCATATGATTTTTCAATGGGGTTAGATGAAAGTTTAAAACAACATAACTACCCATTACCAAGTCCAGAGGAAATTTTTGCCAAATTGAATGAAATTAAGGTAGAAAAAGACTATAATGAAAATGAAGGAGAAATTAAGATCTAAAGGAAAAAATATTATTGGAAATAATGCATCTTCATTATGTAATGATGTACTTATGTACACAGAGAAAGTGTTGATACCAGCATCATTACAAAGATGTATGCTAAAAGAATTTCACATAGAACATCCAAAAATTTCTAGAAGGAAATCCTTAATGAGTTGTTATACTTACTGGCCAAAAATGGACCAAGATATTGAAAATTTAGTG